AATCTCGGTCGACTGTCGGCCGTACAGGGACGAGCTACGGGCGAGCTGGAAACGAGCTCTGCGACCTCAAAAATCGCCGGCGACTAGTCGCTGATGTTAAGAACACGTTTCACGTTTCAGCGAGCTTCGGCCGAATCCAAAAAATCGCCGGCGATGTCGTTTAGAGCTCGCCGACTAGTCGGCCCATCGATTTACGCGCAATGTGACAGACCCATAAGTAATACACAGAAGAAAAAGACAAATTGACACAAAATAAGAGAAAATCTGTTACCTCCGGTGTCACCAGTCTGGGACATGATGCCACTTGTCTGTTTTCTGCACAGCAAAAACACGCCCTACACCAGGCACGGGTTTGTCGACTGACGCGAAGCCTGACTGACGCCCACGCAGCGACTAAAACCAGCTTTACGTAACCTGCTACAATTGTTGTGCAAAGTTTGATTGATCGTACGACCAGCACGGAAGTAATGCATATTTTTTTACTAACTAGTCTACCAAACTTGAAAACTAAGGGATGAAAGCTAAGCAAGGCAGTCAGCGCCACATTTTGAAGTAATCGAAAACGTAATTTTTTTTCTTCAAAGTTAAAAGATATGCCCAGTACCCACGCATTGCTTTGATAAACATAATTGCAAGTCTGTGAAAAAATATTGTGCTTTGAAACGATGAGACAATTTTCATGTAAACACCTAATGATCCTATGTCTTCATGCTCAAAGCATCTTGGCAAAATCAGTACACAAACGCAATCATGAACTTTCAAAAGCACAGATTACAAACTTACTGTGTGCTTATGTCTGCAGTCGTAATGAAAAAAAAAGTATTTTATTATTGCACGTGGGAAAGCAAACTAACATTTGGTGGGAGGGGGTGAAACACAAGAAAACACAAGGCCTTCCATCAACACAGAGAACAGGCATGGAAGAGACTCAGAAATAAAGTCATCCAGTGCATAAAGCAAGCTAAGAAAAACCACTACACAAAGAAGGTGCAACAACTGAAAACAGAGGATCCAGCCAAGTGGTACAAGGAACTGAAATCCGTATGCAACTTAATTAAACCACCCAGTTCCATTCAAGTGCCCAACGTTGAAACCACAAGGCTACATAGCAGATGCAATTAACAAGCACCTGGCAAGTATCTCACAGCAGACCCCCCGGTGAGCACCTGCCAACTTCCTGCTTATTTTACCTACCTGCACCCTCCCCACCGCCACAGATCCAACCCTGGGACATGTACAGAGAACTGAGTAATATCAGAGTCCGTAAAGCGGGAGGCCCAGACGGCGTTGCACCCAGGATTGTAAATTTAAAATGTTCGCCTGTGAACTCTCGGAAGCCCTTACTGACATATTTAACACATCACTTAGAGAAGGAGTTGTCCCAAGTGCGTGGAAAGAGGCTGTAGAAGCCCCCCTTCCGAAAGAGCTCCCGGCAACAGTCGACAAACTGCGCCCAATATCACTTACGTCGATATTTGCTAAGATCTGCGAAGGATTTGTTGCAAAGTGGACAATGTCTGACCCGCCGGGCCGCTTCGTCACGTCCATCTCACTTGTTTTTCTAACCATGCATATGGATGTTCATAGTTCATCATACCTATCACACATAAACATTCTGAGCCAATCTGGCTGCCCCCATCTTCCGACCTCTGCCTGGTTTTCAATGAGAAAAGACACCAACACAAACAAAACTGTCAATGAAATTTCTGGAGCTATCTGTCAAATATTGGGTCGCTAATGCCCCTGTCACATTGTCGACGAGCTTCGGCCGTATTTGTCGATCGCCGAAAGATCGGCCGATTTTGAGATCGACCGACGATCGCGCGTATTTTTGGCTTGAAAATCGTCGCTGTCACATTGTGCGAGGCTCGGGCGATGGCTTGGGGATACATCTATGATAATGAAGTCCCTATGACATGGCAAGCATATGAAGCAAGGCCATTGTATCCACCTAAAAATGAATAGTTTGGCCAAGTTTTATGTTTGACCTGTCGTGATATTTTTTAGCAAAGTAATGTAGCGGACTGGCAGAATAAAATAGAAATATAAACAGGAATTCTGTGAAAGATCCAACTCAAATACTACCACAAGAGCCACAAATTGGCACTACCCTCTGGTTAACATAAAGACCCCCTTTTTGACCAAACAAGAGTCGGCCGAAGCTCGCTCGACACCCGGGCGCATGCGGCTCGAGTTACGGTGGACGATCTATCGATGCTCGCACGATCTCTAGACCATTCAACCAAAATGTACAACAACATAATGATTATCATCAAATCAAAATCTTTTTTTCTACACCTGTACGTGTACCTGAAAAAAGGTAATAAGATATATTGTTCTAAAACTTTGCGTCCATACTTCTGTCTAAAATAGTATGAATCTTCCAGTAACCAAGTTTATTAGCCATTCAATGGCATCAAAGTAGACAGAGGTAAAAAGAGCCATGCAATATAGACTTCAACTAGTAAGAAATATCTATCACATGACGTTCTTGTACCCTAAGGCAACATCATTCCAGAATGAACAAGTGTAAAAGTCAATTTATAATACAATCCTCTAAAATAAGGCCACACTCCTCCTAAAGGAACAAGAGTAAGGAATTTCAATCAGTTGGGTTCAAATAATATTCAGCGACCATCGCCCGATTTTCGAAGCGAAAAACGGCCGAGACTCGTGGTATGTACGCCCGAATCTCGGCCGACTCTCGGCCGTACAGGGACGAGCTACGGGCGAGCTGGAAACGAGCTCTGCGACCTCAAAAATCACCGGCGACTAGTCGCTGATGTTAAGAACACGTTTCGCGTTTCAGCGAGCTTCGGCCGACTCCAAAAAATCGCCGGCGATGTCGTTTAGAGCTCGCCGACTAGTCGGCCCATCGATTTACGCGCAATGTGACAGACCCATAAGTAATACACAGAAGAAAAAGACAAATTGACACAAAATAAGAGAAAATCTGTTACCTCCGGTGTCACCAGTCTGGGACATGATGCCACTTGTCTGTTTTCTGCACAGCAAAAAACACGCCCTACACCAGGCACGGGTTTGTCGACTGTCGCGAAGCCTGACTGACGCCCACGCAGCGACTAAAGCCAGCTTTACGTAACCTGCTACAATTGTTGTGCAAAGTTTGATTGATCGTACGACCAGCACGGAAGTAATGCATATTTTTTACTAACTAGTCTACGAAACTTGAAAACTAAGGGATGAAAACTAAGCAAGGCAGTCAGCGCCACATTTTGAAGTGATCGAAAACGTAATCATTTTTTTCTTGAAAGTTAAAGATATGCCCAGTACCCACGCATTGCTTTGATAAACATAATTGCAAGTTTGAAAAAAATATTGTGCTTTGAGACGATGAGACAATTTTCATGTAAACACCTAATGATCCTATGTCTTCATGCTCAAAGCATTATGGCGAAATCAGTACACAAACGCAATCATGAACTTTCAAAAGCACAGATTACAAGCTTACTGTGTGCTTATGTCTGCAGTCGTAATGAAAAAAAATATTTTATTATTGCACGTGGGAAAGCAAACTAACATTTGGTGGGAGGGGGTGAAACACAAGAAAACACAAGGCCTTCCATCAACACAGAGAACAGGCATGGAAGAGACTCAGAAATAAAGTCATCCAGTGCATAAAGCAAGCTAAGAAAAACCACTACACAAAGAAGGTGCAACAACTGAAAACAGAGGATCCAGCCAAGTGGTACAAGGAACTGAAATCCGTATGCAACTTAGTTAAACCACCCAGTTCCATTCAAGTGCCCAACGTTGAAACCACAAGGCTACATAGCAGATGCAATTAACAAGCACCTGGCAAGTATCTCACAGCAGACCCCCGGGTGAGCACCTGCCAACTTCCTGCTTATTTTACCTACCTGCACCCTCCCCACCGCCACAGATCCAACCCTGGGACATGTACAGAGAACTGAGTAATATCAGAGTCCGTAAAGCGGGAGGCCCAGACGGCGTTGCACCCAGGATTGTAAATTTAAAATGTTCGCCTGTGAACTCTCGGAAGCCCTTACTGACATATTTAACACATCACTTAGAGAAGGAGCCGTCCCAAGTGCGTGGAAAGAGGCTGTAGTAGCCCCCTTCCGAAAGAGCTCCGGCAACAGT